CATATTGTAATAGTGATAAAGAAACATTGATTTACAAAAAGGCTTGAAATATTGTTTAATTTTTAGGGTATTTCCTGATAAACCATAAAAAAGTTTTCATTTTATAAAATAACATGTTAATTGAGCTATGAATGAAATAAAAGCTAATGTGTCAAAATTAAATATGTATGTATAAAAATTTAATAATGTACGATTAAAGTAGAAAACTAAAATAATAGTTATTTTACAAAATTTTAATTTGCTTTATTACCAGCAATTAAATAGTACCTCTCAAGTAAATGTCTAGATAATAGATATCAATAAATCATTATAAACCTCAGCGTGACATTGGCGTAACGAAGGTAGCTCTACGTTTAGGTACCTTATAAACGAAGCTAAACTTTTGTTTTGCAGCTTCATATGAAATTCTATAGCCGTCCAACTTCGGAGCTCGCGTATTATAAATGTAGGTCATATTTTCTCTTGTGATTAAAGTTACAAATGTCGCAATGGGCGTCTATTGTAACTAATATACATTGATAAACATTTTCAACCGACTTCAAAAAGGAGGAGGTTCTCAATTCGACTGTATGTTTTTTTTTTTTTTTTTATGTTTGTTACCTCAGAACTCCGTCATTTATTAACCGATTTGGACAATTTTTGTTTTGTTTGAAAGGGTATACTTCCAGATTGGTCCCATTTAAATTTCAAAAAAAAATACCACCCCTAAGGGTGGAAAAACAACTAATGATGAATTTAACCTACTTCTGATTGTCATATTGACTTGAAACTTTGCAAGTATTTCTATTTCCGTTGATAGTACAGTGGTTCGGTGTTGTTGACCTGATCTGATGGCAAGGCCAGAAGGTGGATAGGTGGAACTCTTCAACGGCTAATAGTAGATACTTTGAGTTTGGGCTTATTTTGTTTGATTTGACAAGCCTAACACGTTAGAATCCTTACTTTGCTACTACTGTCTACACTAAAAAGGTAAAAATAAAAACTTTTTAACAAAAAAATAAAAACCGACTTCAAAAAAAAGCACTAAAAAGTAAAAAATAACTGATTGGTAGTTTTCATTTACTATACATACCTAATCAAATATTTTCGAAGTCGGTGTGCTTTGGCTAAGTAATTAAAGCCTACCTATTAAATACATACCTAATCAAATATTTTCGAAATCGGTGCCAGCCCATACAAAGCAAAACACACCGACTTCGAAAATATTTGATTAGGTATGTATAGTAAATGAAAACTACCAATCAGTTATTTTTTACTTTTTAGTGCTTTTTTTTGAAGTCGGTTTTTATTTTTTTGTTAAAAAGTTTTTATCACTCATATTATATCTATACATATAATAAAATTGTAACTAAGCCGAATCTGTACATTAAATATTTTTTGGAAAATCTTATTGAAATAAACATTATTATCAATATAGAGGCCGAATCTATAGTTTTTAGATTTCTTGTTTGTCTGTTACCACATCACAGAAAAACCACTAGAGTGTTTTTGATGATATTTGGTATGGTGATAGCTGGTTATCCGGGTCAACATATAGAATACTTTTGACCGCGACAAAATATCTCATTTTTGAGAAAAAAATACAACAACTGCAATGTAAGAGTATACTAATATGTAAAACCTAAGAATTTGGTTATTGGTCATCTGAACGCGGGTGCTGCCGCGGGCAATGCTAGTTCTATTATAAATTCATAGAAGTTATTGTTGTAATATAAGAATGATTTAGGAATATACCAGTAAGTAATTTTAGGAATTTTAAAACCACTTAAGGGGAATAGGTTAATTATATTATGTAAAATCTTGGAACTGAAGATAAAGAAAATTTAGAATAAGACGAAGAAAATACTTCTTAGTCTAGACAAAGATTAAAAATGTAGCAATAGAAATTTTATTTCAACTTTAGGATTGAATTATTTAGAATAGACCCATTTATAGCAAGACTATTGAATGTTTAAGTGTCACTGTTGTGTTAAGGCATTTTTCAATTATGCTGAAAAGGCAGGGGTAGAGCGACTTTCATTTCTGTACCGAGTTAATTTTTAATAAGTACAAAAACGCTTTAATAATGTATGTTACATACATACATTATTAAAGCGTTTAACTATTTTTAAGTCTCGCTCCAGAGCACAGGCCTTCCTTCAATATGAGGGGGATAAGGCCATAGCCCACCACGCTGGTCAAGTACGGGTTGGCGGACTTCACATGTCTTTCGAAAACTTAATAGGTTCTCTCAAACATACAAATTTCCTCTCGATGTTTGTCTTTACCCTTAAACAAGTGGTAATCACGTTGGAAATGATTCGCAAATGAAAATATCAGAGGTTTTGACCGCGAGACCCCGGATTTGAACCCGCTTCACTCGGTTTCCCAAGCGAGTGCGTTACCACTGGGTTATTACTGTCCTTTAATAATAGTGAGCTTGATTTAACCAAGACAATTTTTTTTTTAATTATATTTTTCTTAAGTTATATTATTAAGCTACGGAATATGTATTCACCTCTTTGAAGAGTCTTTTTAAAAAGGAAAAAATAGAAGTAAGTAATTAGGAGCAAGCGTCACTTATGCTCGCTCTAAATTACTTCTGACCTAGAATTACAGGTTTCTAGAGAATGTTTCCTTCGTATGCTTTACTTGCTAGATTTTTATATCTTTTTTTTTGTAATTAGGTAGTACATTTTATTTATTTAATTTTGAGAATAAAACAGTACCTACAATATTCTATAAATAATAAATAATAATATATAACACATAAACCAATGAAGTTTCCACATATTAAAAAATACAAATAAGAAGCAAACCACAATGAAAATAAGAAAAACAATACGCTAAATACTGATTAACATTAATAATAAAAAATAAGGAAAAACATAAAATATAAAACATAAAACATAAATACAATAAGTTATTAATACTATTTTCGAAACCTATAAGTAAATTCGAAAATATGTCTATACTTGTATATTTTTTATTATACTCATTACATGAGCGAAGTATAAAGATATTTCGAGCATATTTCGTTCTAGTACATAGCAGGTTAAAAATATCATGGTTGCGCTTACTAAATTTTGGAACCTTAAAATTCAAACAGCTTAGCAAGAATTTTATGGAGATTCACTCCAAACCCAAGGCAGGTATAGGTGAAAATGTATCAAAAATGTTATATTATATCCACTAATAAAGATTTAGTGTGCTAATATTGGCACATATTGAATTTAATTTAACTCATGACAAGGACTCAGGACTAGGTCAAGAGTCTTGATTGAAGATCGAAGCGATGTATCTTATAAGTATGTCGTACACTCGAATATGATGATGATGATGTTCTCCTAGCCGATTCCGGCCACGGCGGCCAATCTCATTGAGACTAGCCAATTGCGCAGGAGATATTATAGTGCTCAAGTGTACGCGCAGACACAAGTGCACTCTCTATTCCTATCACTCTCATACTACGGTGGGACGACTGCTCGACACGACTAGTGAGAGTTAAGGCGCAGAACCGACGGCTTTACGTGCTCTCCGAGGCACGAGGATGAAACACCGCCAACTTCCCAACTCCGGGCTGTTACTGAGACTTTCTATACAGAAAGACTCAATAACTAAACTTGGCCCGACCCGGGACTCGAACCCAGGACCTCCGGGTGTGCAGCCGTACATGCTAGCCACTACACCACCGAGGCAGTTAACACTCGAATATATTATTGTAGCGGTTAGCCTAGACTTTACTTACTAAGTCAATGAATGCTTTTTTTTATTTAATTTATTTATATACTTTTATCAATTATTGTAATTTATTAATTTACATATATATTTCATCATTATTTTGGAAATAATTTAATAGGATTAAAGATACAAAAGTTTTATATTTGTATTGAATTACAATAATTTTAAAAACAGTTATAAATCGAGTCGAAAAGAAATAAAGAAATAGGAAGAATTGTGGTGCCAACATTTAACCATTTTGAGAGCGCTAAAAGTTCTTTTTGTTCAAAGAAACGATATGGTGTTGAAATGCACACTAGACATGTACTAAGATGAATAAAACATGTACGGTGTGACCTACTGAAAGCAGCATTTTATGTATCGAGAACAAGATTTTTTCGATAATCTGCCACTTTCCAGTCTATAAGCTACCTGTACAGCCATTTAATACCCTAGATACGTTGCTTCATAGCTGAGTGAAAAAGGCACAAAGCCAAATAGGCACAAATAGGCACAAATTTTCAATCAATATTATACTAACGATGTTGATGTTTTTCCATGCAAATCGTGATTTATTTTCATTTTTTCTTATCGTCTAAATTAAACCCTATAATTAAATTATGTACTGCAAAGAGCAAATTTTATTTCTATTAAGTACCTGTGGTGGTGAAATAGTTTATTAATTTCATAGGGATTTATATGTTTATATAATGCATTACTTCGTCAAAAATATATTTTTTACACAAAAAAGCAACCTTATCTATACATATAATAAGATTGGAACTAAGCCGAATACGTACATTAAATATTTCTTGGGAAATCTTATTGAAATAAACATTATTATCAATACAGAGTCCGAATCTATAGTTTTTAAAAAAAAATTGTCTGTCGGTCTGTCTGTTTGTCTGTCTGTTACCGCATCACAGAAAAACCACTGGAGAGATTTTGATGAAATTTGGTTTTGGCTGAGAAAAAATACAAAAACTGCAATGTAAGAGTATATTAATATATAAAATCTAAGAATTTGGTTTTTGGTCATCTGAACGCGGGTGGAGTTAAGACAGCGTACGCAAAAATAACGATATTTTTTTGACTCACTGGATGTAAACCGCGGACAGCTGGGCTAGAACATATTCGGTTCGGCTAATGTAATTTATAGTCTGTAGTACTCTCGTTCAATATACCAATGTATTAGTGAAACAATGATTAAAATCTGTTCAGTAGATTCACAGTTTTTTGACTACAAACAAATATTTTTTCCTCTATAATTAAAATTGAATAATTAGGATATTTGTTTATAGCGGGCGAATGGCACAGCGCGACATTCTGGGTACTGGTAGTGGGCGCGTCGGCGCTCGTCGCCGTCGCACTTGCTGCCTTCGCTTGCTGGGTCGCTCGACGACGCTCAACGCTTGCTCACAAACTTGGTAAGGCTATTTAGTAGTCATTTTTTAAACCTTACTAATATTATAAACGGGAAAGTTTGTAAGAATGTATGTATATTTGTATGGATGTATGTTTGTTACTCTTTCACGCCAGAACTGCTGAACGGATCTGGATGAAATTTGGCACAGAGATGGACTATAGGCTGGAATAATATATAGGCTACTTTTTATCCCGGAAAAATATATGATTCACGAGGGAAAGGTTTTATCTTTATTATATTAAAGGTATCATTGCGTTTAAGTAGATTTCTAAGAGTAATAATGCTTTCTTTAAGGCCATTTATTTATATATATTTTTTAAGTATTTTAAAGAATAAATCGCAAGAATTACGATGACCTTCGGCAAGGACTGAAAAAAGAAAAAATATATAGTGTCAATTAGAAGTGTAACACTAACACTGGATTATAACAATCAGTCGTTACTTTATGTCTGTGACCTCATTCACGAGTTGTTTCACTATTTCTTATGAGGGTTAACTGAACTGAGTAAAATATTAAGACTACACCCTAATTTTCTAGTATAATATAATACATTTCGGATAGTTTATGAATACAAACAAAAATATAAATTGTTATAGCAAAATGATATAATAACTCTTTAAGCCTATTGCCTAGAAATGGACCACCTTATTCCTTATATCTCATCCAGGTGGTAAACGCGGGCCAGATAAGGCGCTGGTATTCCAGCCCCCGCGCCGCGCCACGGCGGTGAGGTCCCCGGGCTCGGCCACGCACTACCTGCGCAAGTCTCCCTCTCCGACGGCCGCTGCGCCCCCCACTGCCTCACCCCCGCAGCCGCAGCCACCGGCTAACCCGGTGAGATCATCTTACCAGCATCAGATTGACGAATAAAACAACCAGTTGTTTAATGATTGATAGTAGTTAGCCTCAGATTAAAGTCTAAAATAGCCTATTTTTTGATTGACTGAAACAAGTTCCACAGATGTTGATGTTCTCAGATTAACGGCTAAATTAACTTATTTTGTTTTGATTGAAAGTAGCTTTATGGTAGTTACGTGAAGAGATAGACAGACGGACAACGTAAACTAAAGGTTTTGTTAAAATATGCTAACCTGCTACGTCATAAATCGGAAGAATGGGAGATAATATTTACCAATATTAAGACTATTATAAAACATGTGTTAATGAGAAATCATTAGAACTAAAAGTATAGTAAAATCCCGATTTATTTAGATATACTATAAAGATACTTACGTATGTTGGCCTGAAGCTTAAGGCCGGCAATTCACTTATACTTTACTTATGTACCATAATTCACAAATAATAACATGATAATTATAGTTAATTAAATAAAATTGAAGTTCTTTGATGAGAATTTAATGGTTTATAAGCCCAAATTGTACTTCCCTAGCCCTCCGGTGGTAACAGCCCACACACGCCGACCGCCCCTGAGCCCGCACCTTTAAGCAAGGAGTTAGCGGACGCGAATGCCACTGAGAAGCCGAAGCCCATCGAACCGGAGACTACTACTGATGGAAAACTTGGAGATTTGCACTTCAAATTACGGTAAGTGATATAAAAAGTCCACAATCCCTTTGTGATATCAATTCGTTCTCGCGAGAACCCTGTATCGTATAAAATATCTTTATGTTACACGTTTAACAGTAAAACAAGAATTTACCTTATATAGATATTGAAATCACTAGCGCGAGTCTACTTATATTTAGTCAATTTTTAGTATTGAATTTAGATTAACGATTGCATGTGTTACGAATAATTATTATTAAAACAGAGGATCTTTCAAAAACAATCATTTTATATGGTGGACCCGCAATATTTTTATTTTTTTATTATTTGTAAGGAAATCCGCCTCAATATCCTCCTGTGATCCTGACATACTTCTCTCTTATCTATTTTTGTCTTCAACTAGTATACTGTATATACATAATATATCTTTTTTTTCAGATGTACTTTTTACTTATTATTTTCCATTTATTTAGCCAAAATAGAAAATATCTTAACTGTAACTACAAAACGTCAAAATTCCCTCTAAATAAAGTACACAATAACATGATTCATACAATAACGAAATATGACTAATACGTGATAATAGTATGACATGACTAATGCGAAGGCTTTATGAGTCTTATTTGCTTCATGAGATAAGTTTAAATCATTAAAAATTATCTTAGACATTATTTGTAAGAAAATAAAAAAACCAAGGTTCGGTAACATCATCAATAAAATGAAATTTTGATAATTTTAAGGTCAAATGTTTATGTATTTATGTACTCTATACAAATACTAGCGGACCCGACAGACGTTGTCCTGTCTACACGTCTTTAATTTGAAAATTTCAAACTTTTTTTAATATATTATTTTCTATTAAAAAAATTGTGAATCTAAACCATTCCCAGATCCCCTTGAACACACACAAAAAATTTCATCAAAATCGGTCCAGTCGTCTGAGAGAAGTTCAGTGACATACACACTCACAGAAGAATTATATATATAAAGATGAGTAATTTTTAGAGCTACGCGAGCAATACTTGCGTAGAGATAAAAGTAAATGTTTGAAACGGAAAATTCCGTGAGTTATTTTTTTCATCTTTGATTAACTAGAATCCATAAATACAGTATTAAGTTTCCATAAATACAGTATTTACTTTTTATTTATAGAAAAGGAAAATCTTGCCGGTTTTTATAAAAAAGTTAACGTGGGAGGTTAATCTGAGCTTTTATTAAAACATTTCTACGTCTTAACAATGTTTTGCGTAAACTTCACAATTTATGATACACATTTACTTCTTTTACAATATAATCACTTAGTTTGTACAAATGTAAGTTTATATTTTACATACATAATGTAAAATATTTTTATATCTTCTTATAATATAAAAATGAATCGCTGAATGTGTTGCTAAGCGCAAATCTCGAGAGCAGCTGAATCGATTTCTCTTATTCTTTTTTTAGAATATTTCTTGAAGTACGAGTATGGTTCTCACGGACAGAAAAATTTTAAAAATTGCCCGAAAAAGTCTAAAAACAACACTTTTCTATACTTCCATACAAGAGATTCGTAATAATACTTAAAAGTCAATTTAAACTTTAATACCATACCATAAAGTTTAAGTGTTAGTGGAGAGGTTCCGGGAAGGCAAAACAATTGAGTGACGTTAGTATCGTATAAATATTAATGTCAACACTCGTATTTGTGAATATTATTAACAAAAAAAATAATATTTATATGGCTAACGCTGGCTAATAACTATTTATATCTATTTAAAACGTACCTAGCGACGAACCTGAGCAAAGAGAGGGTGAGCAGCTAGTATCAATATAAAACAAAGTTATGAATTTAGGTAACTGATCTGCAATTCTCGAAGAATAATCAAGCTGAATACCTTATTTAAAATACATAAGTCACGTATAAACAAAATCTACTAAAATGAAAATTAAACTTTGTTAACATGTTTTAAAGGCACTAGAAACGTGGGCTTTAAATAAAATGTTCCTTGCTTCAAACCTGTCTAGGATAGAGTAGGAAGGCCAATAACATCTCGCGTGGCTCGTAGATGCAGAATGTTTGATGAGTGCCGTCTGGGAGCCGTGTCTAGCGGAATGATACATACATACACTCGACGCGAATACGTCAATCGTCGAGTGTAGTTAAATATGTACGAGTATGTGCATTGTAGCGAGATTCTGGAACGATGTTAGACCGTTCATGAAGCGCCTCTAACTCTACACTGTTCTACTTACATTATTATATGACTAAAAGTTTCATTTATAAACGTCCTTTAACAATGTTATTTATATATTTTTTAACTTATAAATAAAAATACATGAGTGCTCATATTATTACACTAGCGACTCACCTTTGCTTCGCTCGGGTTCGTCCCAAGGTTGCTTTCCCATACAAACTTTCATCCCTATTTCCTTTATATTTATATTATCCTTTAAAGGATGATTTCCGGGATAAAAAGTATCCTATGTCCTTCCCAGGGTCTCATACTATCTTCTTACCAAATTTCATCGAAATCGGTTCAGTAGATCCAGAGATTACCCCCTACTACGTCATAAACTCACAATTCACAAACTTTACCTCTTTATAATATTAGTATAGATGTGCATATGAATATTATTATAACTAACTTTAGGCAATATAATTCACTTAATACACGAACCTGTACCTAACCCAAAGTTATTGAGAATGCCAAGGACTTGGGGCTCATGAAGTTCATTTGGACCGACTCCATTCATTATCTATTTAAATAGGCATAGATAAAACAGTTCTATTTCTCCTCTTATGTCAACCCATTTTCTTTATCTTTTTGTTTAATAACAATTGATGAGATTTAGTGTTATCAATAAAGAGGTTTTGGAAATGGTTTTTTTATATATAAATTTTCAATAATGATTATGGTCGAATTTCAACCACTTGTCGCATAGAAGTTACAATGAAACGTTAGTGTGTTTTAATAAGTACGCATAAAGGCTTATTAAAATCCCTTCATTCGGTTTCCCAAGCGAGCGCGTTACCACTGGTCTACCACTGCCTAATCTATCTAATCGATATAATAATCTAAATGTATCATAATAAACAAATGCTAAATCTTGTTTGTCAACAAGTCCAGTTTATATAATACTTTCTTAGATTTACGCGAATGTTTGACATTATTAAATAAAACTATCTTTTCGGATTATTTCGCGGATTTATTTTGATTTTTGGTTCCCGACGTTTCGAATGCTTTACAGCATCCATGGTCACGGGAGAGACTGAGGTGTTACATGTCTTAAAGATATAGTTGTTACAGACATGATGAATTTTGCTGTAACGCCTACGCGCATTCCTTATGAAAACATTATTTGCGCAGTTGAAGATGCCCTGGCCCAAAACATTATGAAAACTGAGGATATGGAGGCCATACGTCAAGATGTTTCGTCTTTATTACGTCGTAGTACTAGGCCCAAACCAAACCTCAATAAACAAGAGTATTTAGCGTTGAAGAACCTACGCAATAGGTCAGACATCACCGTTCTACGCGCAGACAAAGGAAATGCAACCGTTGTGATGGATACATCAGATTATAATGATAAAATAAAACAACTTTTGTCGGACGAGAGCACGTACAAAAAGGTTAAAACGGATCCAACTACCACCGTTTTAAATAATACTAAAAAGCTAATTAAGGAACACTCCGACACATTAAATCTTGATGTTAAAAATCTTATTCCATCATGTGCAAAACCACCTAAGTTGTATGGACTTCCGAAAATACACAAGACTAACGCTCCGCTACGTCCAATTGTGAGTCAGATCGACTCACCGACTTACAAATTGGCTAAACTAGTAGCAAAAGTACTCTCACCACTCAGAGGATTAACAAGAGCGTTCACAAAGGACTCTTACCATTTTGTCAATGAAGTTAAACACCTAAAACTCATGGACAATGAAACAATGGTTAGTTTCGATGTACAGTCTTTATTTACCAGCCTACCAGTGGAAGACTGTATTGAAATAATATCTAGGAAGCTACTAGATCACAACATGTCAATAGAATACATTGAACTTTTAAAACACTGCCTAACATCTGGCTATCTACTGTGGAATGGTGAATTCTATAGGCAAGTGGATGGAGTGGCCATGGGTTCGCCAGTCTCCCCCGTTGTAGCCGACATCTTCATGGAGGACTTCGAGGAGACTGCTCTGAACACATCACCCGTGACCCCTCGTTTCTACAAGCGGTATGTAGATGACACTTTCACAATATTACCATCTGATAAAATAACTATATTCTTAGAACACCTTAATTCTATAAATCCTAAAATACAATTTACAATGGAATTAGAATCAGACAATACCTTAGCTTTCCTAGATGTATTAGTTAAACGTAACACAGATAACACCTTGAGTCATACTGTGTATAGAAAGAAGACCCATACTGATAGGTACCTGAACGGTGAATCTCACCACCATCCTTCACAGTTAGCTACCGTGGGAAAATCTTTGTTTCAGAGAGCGCGCGGGATCTGTGACGAGCAACACCTGGCCGGAGAACTGCAACATGTCAAGCAAGTTCTGCGTGACAACAAGCTGCAAGTGCCGCGCCTGCGTCACAGTGACCGAGTAAAACCAGCCACAGTCGAGCGCGTCCCTGCAGTCTTGCCATACATGAAAGGAGTCACTGACAAGATTGGCTACATTCTAAAGCGAGCTTCAATTAAAACTTACTTCAAGCCACCAAAGAAAATTAGTCAGTTCTTACCACCTGTCAAGTGCCACATCCCTCTACAAGATGCAGGAGTTTACAAGCTTGATTGTGATTGTGGGCTCTCTTACATTGGACAAACAAAGCGATCCATTAGAACCCGGGTCAAAGAACACATAGCTGATGTGAAGCACCGTTGCAATACAACATCTGCTGTCTGCAAACATAGCCAGGACCGCCCAAGCCATTATATTCGTTTCGATAGACCTCAAATCTTGGCGAAAGAAAACCGATATCGCCCTAGAATGATTCGGGAAGCCATAGAAATTAAAAAACATCCAAATTTCAATAGGG